GACCCTGGTCTTAGCCGTGCCGGGGTAATCTAGGATGTCCTTCTTGAGTTGCAGAAGAACATCCTGAGTGGAGAGATTCGGTCTAAAACCGAACATTGAATCAGCGAAGAAGCCAATCGATTCTAGATGCGGTTGGAGTCTACGGAGCACGACGTGTCCCATTAGAAGGACTTCGCTCAACCTCCGTCGAGAAGGGACGTGCTCTTGGAGCTCTCCGTCCTCGCCGAGTTCCCACGCTCCGAAACGCGAGCCTCCAGTATAAACATCGAGAGGCCCGCTCCCCGGTCGGCGGCCCCCGATTTCGCCTCGCCGAGCCTGGAAGCCCGAGATTCCTACCCCACATGGGTGGGGCCGACACCAAACGGCTCCTACGATGAACGGCATCCATTGAGACCACACAAGTCCACAAGTCCCGGTGAGCCCACCACTTTTAACATTATCAGACTCCTAAGACACAAACCGAAGCCCGCCCAGCTAAGCCAAACGACGAGCACGGCGGCCGGTGCCGCCCGCGCCATCAGAGCGCAGCTCTCGACCCGGCAACAGGCGGACGCTTGCCCCTAACCATCATGGAAAGTAGTCAAGCATTATCCCAGCGCCAACCGACCAACCGAGAGGAAAATGAACGCGCGGCCGATCTCAATGGGAACCCCAACCCAAACAACGACGAGTTACCCAGTAAAGATGCCTCGCATCAACAACAGGAGGAAACAAATAACTTCTCTTGGACGGACGTAGTCAGCAGGCGAGCCCGAAGACAACAACTTCAATCCGAGAGGGAAAAGGTCGCTGCTGCCGAGAAAGCACCCAACCACTCTGTTGTGTTTCTAAGACCATGGAGTACTCGCAGCCGTTACGAATAAACCTTTAGTACATATAGAACAACTATTTACAATCAGGGTGATTCCGGTATCGGCAGACGGCAGCGTTCGGCTGGCTCGCTGGCTCGCGTCGGTCGCTCGAGCTCGCTTCTTCCTCGTCGTTCCGTGTGTCTACTTCTGGACACAACACTCCCTCAGACTAATCACAGTCCGTACCGAGACACCGGCTTGCGTGCTCTCGAGGGGTATCGGCGTTCCGCGCTTTCAGACGTTGTTCGGGCACCCGGAGAAGGGACAGTTGCTTTTAAATCTGGTTTCCCACGTTCCGCTGATGTACTTTCCTCCGGTTCGGGATTGAACAGAGTATCTGACTCGGATTCCCCGGTGCCTGCAACTTGGCTTGGTCGGCGAAGAAGTTGGTTGACGTGTCGTTTCCAAACTCCGTTGGGCACCTTGACCTTGTAGTGCGCTCTCCCAAGACACTTCAGAATCGTGCCTGGAATCCAACTTCTCTTTGCCTTTCGGTAGTCTCGCACCAAAACCCCGTCTCCCTCTTCAAACTTCCTTTTCGGTTCTTTCTGAGCTTGAAACTCCGATAACTTCTCTGGGTGAAGTAGATCCAATCTCGTTCTAAATCTCCGCTTGAACAACAGTTCTGATGGTGCGAAACCAGTGGATGTGTGTGGTGTGCAACGATAAGCCATCAGAACTCGGGAAAGCTTCGTTTGTAATGACCCTTCGGTCTGTTTCCGCAGTCCTTGCTTGAGCACTTGTACTGCTCGTTCGGCTGCACCATTCGTTGCGGGATGAAACGGAGCACAAAACTTGTGTTGGATTCCATTTCCCCTCAAAAATTCTTCGAAAACCTCAGAATGAAAGGGTGGTCCATTGTCCGAGACAATAGTTCGCGGTAGTCCATGCAGTGCGAACAACTTCCGCAAAGCTTCCACGACTTTCTCCGCAATCGTGCTCGACATTATTTCCACTTCTAGCCACTTAGAAAAGGCGTCGGTGACAACTAGAAACCTTTCCCCTAGGAACGGGCCAGCAAAATCAATATGCAGTCTTTCCCAGGGTTGTTCGGGTGTCGGCCAGTGGAAATACTCTTGAACTGGTTGGTTCCGAAACTTCTGACACAGAGAACACTCTTCGACTGTTCTGACAATGTCATTGTCTATGTTGGGCCACCAAGCATGCAGTCTTGCCAGACTCTTCATGCGCACAATGCCGTCATGTACCGCATGAAGCTCGTGCAGTACTCTTTCTCGGCATGCCTCTGGAATAACAACTCTTCGGCCCCACAATAAGCATTCTTCCTCCACCGTAAGTTCCAACTTCCTCTTGAAGTATACTTCCATATCTGACTTACGTTCTCAGGCCATCCGGTTTGAGTGAATTTCAGTGCCTTGGTGTACAGTTGGTCTTTCTCTCCTGCCTCCTGCAGGGTCTTCGTGTCTACTGGACACAGGTCTAGCTGTCCCATGTAAAAACTTGTGGCATAGTCGTTCACCTTTTCTTCTTGTCCATCAATTGGCAGGCGAGATAGGGCATCGGCGTTGAGATTGTCTTCTGATTTCTTGCAGACCATTGTATATTGGTATGCTGACAAAAGCATTGCCCAACGTTGCAATCTTGCAGCTGCTATTGTTGGAATGCCTTTCTTGGGTCCAAGGATGGTTGCCAACGGCTTGTTGTCGGTTACCAAGATGAAGTTACGTCCATATATGTAGTCATGGAATCTCTTCACTCCAAAGACGATCGCTAGAGCTTCCTTCTCCAGTTGAGCATAATTTTCCTCTGCTCGAGCAAGTGTCCTTGATGCATAAGCAATAGGACGCTCTGTCTTGTCCGGATACACGTGCGCTAACACGGCTCCAACTCCTACTGGGGAAGCGTCGCAAGACAAAATCAGTGGTAGCTCTGGATCATAGTGAGCCAACACTGGGGCTCTGCTCAAGATTCCCTTGAGTTCCTGGAATCTCCTGTCGCACTCTGGTGACCAGTTCCACGGCATGTCTTCATGCAGCAGAAGCGTGAGCGGCTTTAGAATCGTAGACAACTTGGGCACGAAACGTCCGTAGTAGTTTACAAGTCCCAAGAACGATCGTAGCTCGCTCACATTCTTGGAAACCGGTGCTTCCTGTACAGCCTGGACCTTTTTCCTCATTGTGCTTATTCCAGAACCGCTAACTGTATGTCCCAGGTAGTCCACCTTGTCTTTCATGAACAGGCACTTCTTTTTCGCTAGCCGAAGTCCACGATCCTTCATGCGCGTTAGTACTTCGTGCAGTCTCTCTAAGTGCGTTGTATCGTCCTCTGCGGTTACCAAAACGTCGTCCAGGAACACGCAGACACCTGGAATCCCTCCCAATAGTATCTCCATTTGTTTCTGGAAGATAGCAGGGGCGGAGGCGATCCCATAAGGTAGACGCTTGTATCTGTAGAGTCCCTTATGCGTGTGTATGGTGACGTACTGGCGAGACTTCTCATTCAACACCAGTTGCTCGTAGGCGTGTCTTAAATCCAACTTAGTGAACTTCTGCCCACCGTTCAAAGTCGTGAACAAGTCACTGGCTGTTGGCAGAGTGTACTGGTCCACTTCAAGTTGTGGATTTACCGTGAGCTTGTAGTCGCCATAGATCCGGACCTCTTTTTCTCCTTTTGGAATGTTGACTGTAGGCGTTGCCCATTCACTGTAGTTTATTGGCTCGATGACGTCTCTTTTTACCATGTCATCTAACTGTGTTTCGATCAGATGCTGGAGTGCATAGGGAACTTTCCGGCTTTTCATGAACTTTGGTTGGCGTCTGGCTTCAGCTGCAGATTGACTTCAACTCCTTTGAAGCACCCTAGTTCCTCTTCGAAAAGTTCTTGACACTCGGCCAGGATGCCTTCTAAGCAATGCGCATCTTTCACAGTATTCACCTGGAGTGCTGGCATCCATGTCTCGTCCAGGACTTGTATCCAATTTCTTCCCAACAGTGGTGGCACCTCTGCATTAATCACGACTAGTGGCAGCGTCCAGGTCTTCTGATTGCTTGTGACCTGGACATCCGCAGTACCACAGACGTTCAAGCTTTGTCCTGAGCAAGTGCGAAGCTTGGTCCTGAAAGGCTCCAGCGTGCGAATCTTCAGTTTTCCTTGCAGCCGCTTTGGAATCACTGTCACCGTAGCTCCGGTGTCCACCTCCATCTCCAGAGTCACTTCATTAATAAAGACGCTTTTCTTGAGGGGTGGTACAGTCAGTATTTCCGCGTTTGTTCGCAGGACTAAATATTCGTCCGCTCTCTCTTCCTTTTTCAACTGTTGCACCGCTCCTTTTCCTTTCTTGGCTGGTCCCTTGCGTTTGCCTTTTCCACGCTGATTTGACGTTTTCCCTCTTTGTTGCACGCTGCTGTTTTTGCAGGCTTTCCGCAGGTGACCCTTTTGTCCACATGCGTCACAGTCGTAGCCCTTGTAGCGGCAATCTTGAGGAGTGTGGTTGGTTTTGAGACAACGCCAGCAGGCAGCGCTTGTACTTGCTAGTTGTTTCACCTCGTCTTCAGCGGTGGCGCGCGCATCCTTGAGAATTTTCATTTGATCCTCAGCCGCTTCCAATCCCGCTACTAATTCCACAGCTCGTGTCAGAGTCAGATTTTCAATTGTCAGGCACTGCTTCTGGGCCATCGTGTGATTGAGACCACAAACAAATCGGTCGCGCAGTTGCTCCTCGAGTTTGTCTCCAAATTGACAGGTCTCCGCCAGCCGTCTTAGTTCTGCCAAATACGTGGTTGAAGGTTCACCTGATCTTTGATCCCGCTTTCCAAATTTGAAGCGCTCGGCTATCACTAACCGCTTAGGCGAGTAGAATCGACTTAGGAGTTGTACGAGCTCTTCATAAGTCCTCTTGCTCGGTTGCTCAGGAGACGAAAGATCCCGAAGTCTGGAGTAAGTTTTCTGTCCGATGGCAGTGATCAAAACAGAAACTTTCATCCGATTGGTTTTGATGTTTTCTTTTTGCAACTCGAAATACTCTTGAAGGCGTTCCTCGTACTCGTCCCAGCTTGTTCCTTCCTCATAAGGTCCAATCGAACGCGATAGGTCGTCCATGATGCACAGTACCTGGTTCGGTCGATTCTTGCCCTGGTAGATCAGGTCTAGGTTGATTCCTCGTCGCCACTTTGTTGTGTTTCTAAGACCATGGAGTACTCGCAGCCGTTACGAATAAACCTTTAGTACATATAGAACAACTATTTACAATCAGGGTGATTCCGGTATCGGCAGACGGCAGCGTTCGGCTGGCTCGCTGGCTCGCGTCGGTCGCTCGAGCTCGCTTCTTCCTCGTCGTTCCGTGTGTCTACTTCTGGACACAACACACTCCTCAAATCCCCGTAGGAGAGCAGGTGATCCCGGCTTCCCCTACACTCAGGAGAACCGGAGCCGCCGAGCACAAACACAAACGCTGCACCAAAAAAGGCTACCACCCCTCCCGATCGACGACTACAAAGTGGTCATCCGGCCGAGAGACGGTCTCAACCTCGGAGCCTGGAGTACGGACAAGCTCACACGAGCCATCCTCGTGGCATCTAAACTCTCGTTTACCGAAACGTCCGATAGCGCTATAAGAATCCGCCGTGACCAGAACCTGGCGATCATCAGCACCCCAAGACTAGAGACATCCTCCCGCATACAAGCAATCTCGGCGCTAACTCTCGAAACCAGGCAATACGAAGTCACAGCATACCTGGCAGTCCCCGACAATTCATGCAGAGGCATCATCTCCGGTGTAGACACCAGAACGACAGCCGAGACACTCACTGAGGAATTACGTGCCCCCGGGACCAACATCTTGTACGCCAGATTGATGGGACAGACTAACACTGCCATCATCACATTTGAGGGACTCAAGGTACCCCACTACGTGTACCTGTCGGGCGGTGAATACCCATGCAGACCCTACCAACCAAGAAAACAAATATGCGGCGTTTGCCTGGGCCTAGGACATCGCACCGACGTGTGCCCGCAACCGGAGAAGAGCCGATGCACCACCTGCGGAACACCTGGCGGTGCCATGGAAGATCACCAGTGCAAACCCTACTGCATAAATTGTGGCGGTGAACACCCAGCAGTCGATCCGCGCTGCCCGGCCCGACAGAGGGGACCATACAACAAGAAACACGTCCAACAACACCAACAAATGCAAGGACGACAGAAATCACCGCTACCACCGCCACCGCCCCCACCGCCCCCACCAAGAAGTGCAGACCCTCAATGGCCGAAACTACAAAGCAAAACCTGGGAAGATCCTACTTGCCAATACAGGAGGTGAGAGAGATCGGTCTGAGATTTTGGAGTGATAGAAGTTTGCCTGACTTGGGGATTAGCGAAATGTCTGCACGCTTCCACTCTTTGGGGAGCTCCCCAGTGGTCCATACTTGGTTAAAGTATCCAGTCAGTGCTGAGATCGAGTCGTCATCCAGGTTCCTAAGAAGCCTGTACGTAACACCATATTTGCCTGGGGCCGTGTTTCGAGTGATGTTCTGGAGAGCGTTCCGGACCTCCTGCTCGGTTATATCAGCGTCTAGTAGGTGAGGGATATCCCCTTCGTTGTGCGGGTACGATGGGTACTCGGGTCTAGGGCCTGCAGCGATATACCGCTCTATTAGAGTTTCCCAGAGCCGGTCTCCTTCCTCTCTGGGCAGGGAGTGCAGAAGTTTTATCAGTGCTTTGCTCGATTCGACTTTGGTTTTGGTCGGATCGAGGAGGGTACGAAGTAGGCTCCAGGTCTGCTTTGTGCCTAGGGTACCCTGCAGCTGGTCGCAGAGTTTGTGCCAATGGACCTTGTCCAAATACCGACGGCACCAGGCGGTGGCTGCACAAACTAAAAATCAAGGAAGTGACCTACCTGCGCTACCATCGATAATGGGAGCTACGTTACCAGTTGCTTCGCTCTCTGAGCAGCGTCGCGTGCCCAGCGCAACGAGGTAGGCCTAGCGCGACTTTAAAGAAGGAAATCCGTACCGTCCACCCAAACGTCGTGTTTTTCTTTCCGTCCACTTTCTTTTTTTGTGTAACACAATTATATATATGCTGCAATTACGTGTTCTACTCGTCGATTTACAGTCTCATTCCGAATTTCCTCGATTTTTTCGTGCCGACTTCCACCGCTTGGCATCGGGCGCTCGCGCGTGCGCAGAACGCTTCTCGGAAAAGGTCCATTGGTTTGAGTTAACTCTTCGGCGTATCGTTCGGCCTCCTGCGTGAGTTTCGCAATGCGCGCCCGAAGCTTCCGGTTGTACTTTTGTCGTCTCCACCTCTTCGTAATGCTGCGACGAGCCTCCCAGAGGTGGAGAAGGTGAGGGTCGACCACGGGAGCCTTGTCGGTCGTTAGGATCGTCTTGGTCGCCCGTTCGACATCTTCCTGGACTTGTCGCACCCATCGCTCCAACGCTAGTTCATCCCCCCTTATGGGGTTTCCCTTGGCCGCATCCGATCGGAGTTGTCGGAACGAGCCCCAATTCACGAGGCGTTGCGGTTTGCCTCGCTTGCGATTTAGTTGAACGGGCACTTCGGTCTGGAGGATGAGATGGTCTGAGCCCAAACTCTCCCCAAGGTTCGTCCAACTGCAACTATCTCGGGTTCTGGCAAGTGTAAGATCGGGGCAAGTGTCGTATGAGCGGATAAAAACATTCAAAACGTAAAGAATCAAGTATGTGGCTTTTATCGGGCACTTGTTCCAACTTGTTCTCAAAGATTTCGAGCGTGCGGGTGATATTTTGAACTTAGAACAAGCACCTTCGCACAGAGCAGAAAGAGTAAAGCGATACTTACATATTTTAAATCGGAATATATTACAGGGCCTCCAATTTATTTTGTTCGTACATGCACGGGTAGTGGCTGATCCAGTGTTACAGCGTAGTTCTTACAGTCCTTAATTTCCAGATGTCCTTCGTTCCTTTGGCACGTATATTCCCCATGCTGAAAAGCGCCGACGTGGTGTTCGCGCTAACAGTGTCCGACAGTGCACACAAATACACGTACGAAGTCTTTTTGGCACCGTTTTTAATGCGATGAATTTGAAAGAAAAACGCCGTAACTAACCAATTATTGCGTCGGCCTGACTGAGAACTATTCCAAGCTACTTAGTACGTACGAATCATTCGGGATATTTGCTCTTTTGATCGGATGCAGGGAGAAAAGGCACTAACTTTTTACCATAGAAATGCATTACCGGAAGTCAATTTCGAACTGGTTGCTGTCTGCTTCAAAATTTGCGTCAGCACACTCGCGCCACTTGAACCTCTAGCGTACATTATAATAACTCTATGAAAGCAGCCACCGAAATGGAAAAAAGTGGATCGGCAGACAACGGATGAGAGGATGGATGGATGGATGAATGAACGCGGCTGAGCCCTTTGGATCGGGCGGTAGCTTACGTCGCCTAGCCATTTTGTTTTACCATTTAAGCTTAGAATATTTAAATATGGAAACTATATTCACTCCGCCCTGAAAAGAAAGTGAGGCTATGAAACCACCCTTGCCATCAGTTAATAAGAAAATACATAGTTTTCTCTCGCTTTCTGCCACCATTCACTTAATCTTTGCTTGGTAATCTTTACAGTCTTGAAATCCACTTTCCCTTCGCTGTGTCTAAAACCCAGTGACTTTATTAAATCTATGTAGCATTCGGTAGGCATAGGGTGAATCCCTTTACAGTAGAGTATCAAGTGCTCAGCCGTCTCGTCCTCCTCTCTACAAGCAGTGCACACTGTATCCATTTCTTGGTACTTCGCTCTGTATGTTCTGGTTCGCAGAACACCCGTCCTCGCCTCAAACAACAATGAGCTTCCCCTAGAATTGTCATAAATGCTTTCTTTGGCAATAACCGTTTTGTTTAATCTATACCTAACCTAACCTAACCTAACCTAGCCTAACCAAAGCTGTCACATTGTCGTAGCAGACGTCGAAGGCCAATATCAACACAGTGAAAAAAGTTTCGAGCGTTTATTTCAAGTTTCGTTGCAGTTTGCATTCTTGGTCATCCAGGTACATGTCAAAGAGCGAGATGAGTGCGAGTGGACGAATGTTCTTGTTTGTCCACTGGGACATTCCAGCGCCTGTTACCAGGCGGAATTTCCCATGTTACGCATAGATTTCTTGGAATTTGGGCTTTTAAGGTACCTTGACTAACTTTACCAGTGCTAACCAGCTAGTATATATAAGACCGCATGGTACTAGGGACGACTACACCGACGACAGAAGCCCCAACAGCAGAAGCAGCAGCAGAAGCTCCAAGAGCCCCAACAGCAAATGGTGCCGAAAATCTTGTGAGTACCAATTTCGGCTGGCCCGAAGGGGGGGGGGGGGGGGGGGGGCAAAAGTTTAAAGGGCTCCGATTGGCCCGAGTGTGGTATCATTGAAAAGAGCTAAAAACATGCAGTACAGTGGTATAGTTTGTTTTTGGCTTTGGCCCGGGCCAACCTTTTGGACCGAAATTCGGGCAACTAAATTCGGCCCTACCTAGGCGTGTTGGGTACCGTTCGATGTGTCTCATCGAGCCCTTTCCAACGATACCAATGCCGACCAGTTTTGGCCCGGGTCAAATTTTGGCAATCTTGCAAATTTTTGGATTTGGCCCTACTTGGTCGTGTAATATATCAAACAAAATGTCTTACCGAGTACTATCCAGCGATGTAAGTCCGGTCGCGCTGCGAGCAATAGGAAGCGAGATGCCATTTTTCAAACATTTCAATTTTGCGCCAAGTGCCAGGGTTGCCACACTGCATGTATGTGAAGTAGTTAAACTGGGCATAATTAGGCCCACCCCGGCGAGAGGCTTCGAAGGCTAAAATTGAGCTCTGGTGCAAGTCTAGACGTGCTAGGCCTGCCTAGTTGCCGTTTGTTTTGTCGTAGTTGATGTCAGTGTTATTAAAAGAGTATATATATATGTATCTTTTTATGTAGATCGTCATCAACGACAACAACACAGCTCAAAGTTTCGAGGATTTAAGCACCCCGGAAGAAGTAGAAGCGGATGCCCAAAGTTGAAGAGCTGCTGGGGGAGGGCAATGGAAAGTACAGTGGCATTGAAAGAAGCACTGCGACCAATAAAGTGGTCCCCCTAATAACGCGACTATTTAACCTAACCTAACCTAACCTAACCCGCCATCGTCGTAGCAGATTGTCGTAGGAGGGCCACGTGACTGGCGCCCCGCTGCGGCGAGACGCCGAAACACACTTCTCCCGAGCAAACCAATGTGTTTCGGACCCTCGCCGCTGCAAAAGCTGTGCGCTGACGTCCAGGTTCCCCGACAAATGGCTTTTTGATGCTCTGTGCTACCAGATCCTCGGGCTCCAAATCTGCGACGGGGCACTCAATGGCTCCGTCGTCAAACTGCCAGGCTTTGTGAGTATAGAGGATGCTATGGGCCAGTGGCGTACGCAGGATTTCATTTCGGAGGGGGCCGGACCAACGGGGGACAAGATAAGGGGTAAAGGGAGTAAAGGGAGTAAAGGGAGTAAAGGGAGTAAAGGGGGTAAAGGGGGTAAAGGGGGTAAGAGGTACAAGATAAAAAGAGAAAAGAAAGTCCAAGAGGAAATGAAAGCATTTTAATTTTTTTAAGAACTATGCGTTCTTCTATTAAATAGTTAAATTATAGTTGTCATATTGGTTTTGGGATGATTATGATACATAAAAATGATGCCCAAGAAATTACTCACCAGGAAGGCATTTGCACATTACTTTTTTTATTTACAAGTCATGTCAACAGAAGGCACCAGAGTTAGCAGAAAACTAGAATCATAAAAACAAATATTATATAAAGCACGACTCCAATGCACGAAGCCGCCAGTCATCGGGGCTGATAAAGCAATGATGCATGAGTAGAAACACGGAACACTTTGATGGATAGACGATAAACACTGGAAAGCTGCTCCACCATAAATTACTTTCCATCTTAACCTGATCGAACCAACAAAAATCTCACGTGATTTGTTCGTTGGTGTCGATTTCTAAGGTTTTCGAAGTCCGTTAACAAAAGAAAGTCAAGGAAGTCACACGATGCAACAAAGGAACGCTGGAAAATGGTTTGTACACTCACATATTGCACTTGGCTCTCGTCCTGAGGCAGCAGGTCACACACTCGCGCCCCTATCGCGCAGTTCTCAAACTGCCGATGACAACTTCCGTACTCGAGCCTTGAACCGCAAATCCCGCGCCTTTAGGCGCCTATATTAATTTTGTTAAGAGTTTTCCCGCCACCCAAGGAACCAATCAGATATCGCTCTTTTTAGACCAATGGGCGCCACGTGGTACAAAGCAAACATATA